GTGTGTGTGTGTGTGTGTGTGTGTGTGTGTGTACAGTGGCGTCCAAATGAAACTTGAAAATTTTATCACCAAATCATCGTGTCTTGCACTAACCTCTCATACAGCATACTAATTTGAATTGTGCATCATTTGACACATTAATATTTCATCTATATTTAGAAACACCCGAGACAGATCTATGGTCACACAAAATTGACCATAAAAGACCAGGCTTGGTAAAATTGTGCAAAATCAAAGAGACTTCAAACTGTCTTCTCGCGTGTATTGAGGAACATCCATATTGATAGAATGGACAAACATTACCCATCCAATGAATTGAGACTTTTTTCTCCCCAATAAACATTATTATATTTTCAAACAAAACTGAAACAGAGCAAAATTTGGACTCAACGTTAAAATGTGCATTGTTATTTTACTTAGGAGCCATGGTTCTGTGTAGAGCGCGAACCCTATGGGCATCGACTCTTATTACATTTTGACATTGGTATTTGCAGGGAGTGATGGAATTATAAACTTTGTCTTTGACATATCCAAACAAGAAGTACCTATTTCCTTTTCTGCACGCAGAATCGAAAGGCTTCATTTTCTCAACAAGATGAAACACTGCCCCATTGGCATCTCTGGGTTCGAACTCATCTGAATGAAAACGTGCCTCAGCGGTGGATTGTTTGGAGAGGTGCTAAAGACTTCGCACTCTGCGGTTGGCCTGCCAGATCCCCGGACTTCAGAGTGTGCCATTTTTCAGAGGGGGTATGCTAAAGACAAAGTTTATGTTCCACCACTTCCAACAAATAGCGATAGCATGAAAGGTCTATTCAAATCAGTGGGCCGAGATATCATGAGGTGCGTTTGGGAGGAATTCTCATATCGGCTTGATGGTGTCCGTGCTGCCGGTGGTGGAGACATTGAGTACTTGTAAAACATGAAAGAAAAACTTAAAGGCATGTAGATCTACAACACACGTGTCCAAGCTTGTGTTTTCCATAGTTTTTCGTTTTGGAAATATCGCATGAAGATTTTGGTGTATTCTTTTTGAAACACACACACACACACACACACACACACACACACACACACACACACACACACACACACACACACACACACACACACACACACATAAACACAGATTTTCTCTCCCTTTTTCTTTCTCTCTCCTGAACAAAATACACTCATAAAGACACAGACACACACAAACACACACTGTTCACACCTGGAATTCGTACCTTCTTGTTCACTTCCGTTCCACAAATTATCGATATGGAGGCAGGTAAGAACATTTATATTAATCGCATTTTCAGATTTCACATTCTTGAAACACAAAACAAAACTTAACCATCTTTGATGGCAGAGGCGGCTTCACCGTAATCCTCTCACGCATTCCTTTCTACTTCTCCGAACTTTCTCACCGACACAAGACTTTATGTGCACGCCTCCCCATTTTATGGTTAAATTAAAAGTCAGCACGCAGGCGGAAACGGAGAAAATCTTGAGCATGGGTATAAAACACTGGGCCTGTCACGGGGAAAGGACAGAGACTTTGTAGTGCCGCACACACAGCTTGTCCAAACTTTACAAGTTTCACCAATCGGAACATTGGGCTACTCGCATTCTATTTTAGGCAGTTGAAGGTATGTGGTGTCCTGTTTGAAATAAGTATTTCTCTAAGCAAAAGCTATTGATTTGATAATGTGATAACATGATAGCATTTTTACAGTCTTATGACTGGCTAATCGTGATGCGTTTTTAAAATAATTGTATTTGTTGGGGTTTTTTTTTGGTTTGTTTTTTGTTGTTTTTTATGGTTATCGCAGATTGTTCTTTGTATTGATCACTTTAAAATGTGGGTCATAGATAGAGAAGGTCAATAAAAAACCGCAACTTCATCTGACTTTTGAGAATGTTCTTTTACAACCGAGCTTTCAAAGATGTACCTGTGGTACAAAATAATGTTGTCCCTATAAACTATGCAAAAGATTCGTACAAACAAGCTAACGATTGTTGGTTATTAATAAATAATTAAGGTATGTGCAGCATTTTGATAAGAAGGAAATAGTACAATAAGCATGTAAAACATTTCAGTGATTACGAATTCTTATTATTTCGTCAGATCTCGCATTAATATCTACAACAGAACGTTGGGTGCCTTTTCAATTAATAAACAGAAGATACATAATTAGTGAGAAGTTATATCCACTACAATCACATTTTGTGGAATACAGAAAGAACATGTTTCATTATCCACCTTATATATGGCTAGGTGTAAAGGGGGAGTTCAAGTGAACAACTAGCGAAGTCACATTAATCCTACCACAACTTAATTCTTAACTTGATTAGCTTTTATGAAAATAATATAGCATTGACTCTGTAGGCTTTTCGCTAGATGTATTTCATTGGGACATTCTAGAGGTACTGTTGTAAACTAAGAGCTAGTACCCTAATTTTTTTGTGTTTGTTTTCTTCTAAATATGGACTTTTGCTATTTTTACTTGATCCCTTCGATCGAACGCGTTTTCTCAAAGTTCTTGTAATGTATAATTCAAGAAAGTTTGTCGCCTGCCATATAAAATTAGTGTGTACATTGTATTATCAACATTCTAAAAGAAAACCCCCCAACTACTTCCTGAAATACATATAGTTTACAATCTTTTTTATTCATCATTTCATTTTTGATAAGGCATATATATGGCATTCGGTTTAAATCAGTATAACAGTGACTGACCAAACAACTATTTAATCTGTTTCTGTAGAATCAAATGCTTAGCACACACAACTTGTCATACTTTACCTACAGGCTTGACAAATACGTATTTAAGCAAGACCAAATTTGAACTTCTTCAAAGCATCGGCATATTATTTCTGCCCTCTGTACTGTTGTTTTCTAAACCTGGCGCAGGCTACAAGCGTCTGTGGTGCAAATGTTAGGCTCTTAGTTTCGTGCACAAGAGATATTTGTTTTATTAGTCAAGAAATTGATCTATTTTGTTGAGTATTTTCGTCTTTCTACGATAATGATGTAACATCGTTTGACCTATATTGATTACCACAGGCAAGGTCTAATGTTCTAATCTGTGGCCATGGGGGCATACACACAAACGGTAAATAAAAATACTGGAAAAGGATGCCACACAGCGCCTGAAACAGTCTTCTTTATTACCAAGCACATAACATCATGATCATAACAATTTTGAATGCATAAGATAATTGTGAATTTAACTTACAGGGTCCCAGATACAATATGTTGACCTCTTCATAAGTCTGATAGCCTACAACAATCAACCAATTATAATTGGTACTTCTTTCGCGTGTGTATGTGTGTGTGTGTTTGGGGG